AGAGGAGGGGTGATGGGCATAAATGGCATTTATTTCAGGTTTTAAGTTTGCAATAAACAAAAGAGGAAAATATAGAGTAGACAGGAGAGCAGAGATTTGGTTTCTCAGAGGTGGCATTTGTGCCCAAGAATGCAGCAACAGGCAAGAACGGGTCCATGTTTTTTATACAGAGACTGTAACTAGACAAAGACTTAGGGCAGGCAAGATAGGAGTTTTCAACAAGGAAATTAGCGAAGAAGCAGACAGTAAGTCCACACCAAACAGGGACAGTCGGAAGCAGTAAGTGATCTGGGTGTTGTTTGAATTAAAATCTGATTTATGATTTGTCATTTTTAAAAGTCCTCTGTGTGGATGAATGGTTAAAATCTTGTGTGTGTGTGTGTGTGTGTGTGCATGCGTGTGTTGTGGAAGAAGAGAGGAGCTGGAGGCGGCTGCTGTTGTCATGGTGAGAGCTGGCATGGCTGGGGAGAGGATGATAGGGGTGGAAGCCACTAGATCAGATTTACTGTCCGTCATCAATTCATCTGCAAGTTCTGTCCGCTCTACCTTCAGAATTAAGTTATAGAGATTAGATTATATTTTGAGTCTGGCAGAACTGGATGATAAATCTGAAGGGTGAAGAAAGCAAAAAAAAAAAAAGTCAACTGTTCCGACTTATATGATGACCTTGTAGGTTAAATGGCATGCTATCTGCTGAATATGCAAAATCCCCTGGCCTTCCTGTTTTCAGTCCTGATGAGTAGTGCTAGCGTCCCTGTAGAAACTTCAGATTCGTCCAAGAAATCTATCCATTCCAAAGTTCCCAAATCATATCACTTCTGTCTCTTTACCATCTTTCAAGTCTGTCCCCGCTTCCTCTCCACGTGGTCTTGGACACCAAGACTATGAACATGGCTTTCTTACTCTCCAGATGTCAACTCTAATCAAGTACCAGACTTCACTCTGTTCTTCGGCTGGATACCACCCACCCATCTTTTAACAAAAGAGCTTAGCGGTATCTACTGAAGTGTAACCGGACACGTCCTGTTGGTCTGGATGCTTCATGCGCTAAGCTGGTCCTGGTGTGGGGACAAAGGCACATTTAAGAGTTGGCTCTGATGATGATCACATCACTAGGAACGGAAAAGGGACTAATGCTGCCTCTCAGGGTGGGTTCCAACAAGAGCATGTCACGATAAAGTCCATCCCTTGTATTTGTTTGGCTCTTCTGCAAACAGCCATTTCCCTTCCACCAGTTTGTGTGGCAGCCAAGTCTGCCTCATCTGAGGCCAGACAGATGGGAATGTCTGCTCATGGGTCTTTCAGTCTTAGAAACTCCCTGAACAAACCAAACCCCTGCTCCCTAGAGAGTATCCAGCCTCAGCTATTGGTTACAGCAACATAAGGCAGACTATCACACACTTCGGCTACTTTCTTAGGATTCTACGTTACAGAAATAACCAAAAGAAATGAAAATGTAACGACAGGATTTGTTGTCAATAAAAGAGACTGTATAAACCATCATATGATTTTTAACATTCTATATAGCTCTAATTTTTACAGAAGCAATATATATATTATATATAGCTCTAATTTTTACAGAAGAAATATATATGACAGTATATATAATTCCACTAATAAAGAAGGGGGCTAAAGGCATTGAAATGTTGGAATAAGCAAACTGTCAACTGTTCCTCAGAACAGTGAAATGGGGGTAGGCCGATGAGTTCTCAGTTCTTACTATCTTTATTTCTAATTGGGTAATTTTAAAACATTAGACACATTATGTAACAACAAGACTATACAACCATCTCGTATGTCTTACCAAGTACTCTTTCTAGGCTAATTTCATAGACTTATTTACATTGGGTAGGCGATAACGTACTTTAGTATGAAGGGAATCGTGGACTGACACTTGAAACTGGGTCATGCACCGGGCCTAGCAGCTTTTTAAGTGAATTGGAAAGGCTGCCCTGGCGCTTGGACATAAAGCTCTCTCTGAAAGCAAGGCCAGTTATCTGCTCCTGCGTGCCCTTAAAGGAAGGAGGGACTTGGCCCATCTCTCTAGCTCTCCAAAGGATGATTTCATTAGCTTCCCTTTCTCAGTCCACTACAGGCTTAAGAGCTATCTGCTAATCCTGTTCAGTGTATTTCTTTTATAGCAGGATGGAAAAAAATAAAACATGAACAGACCGTGAGTTTACCACAGTACCGGTTTCTTTCTAAAAGTCTTCCTTTTCTGGGAGAGAATTTTTAGCTATTAAAAAGCGACAGCAGCCCTGCTGTTAAAGATAATGTAACTTTGATGAAAACAAAACACAGAACAAATAAGGAAGTGAATCGCGCCAGTCTCAAAAACCTGAAAGGCTTTTTCTTTATTCCCAGTGGTGCAGGAGCCAGCCCAGGGGCGGGATGCTGGGCACGTGCTCTGCCAAGCTCTACTGAGCCCTGAGCGTCCCGTCCCTTCCAGCCCTCGGGTGACTTTTGGTGGTTGGGATAAGAAACTGTTCTTATACACTTCCTCTTTTAAACACTTGGGAATAAAGAGGAAAAAAAGCAACACATCTGATGTGGGATTCCCCTCGACACGCTGCGAAAGCCTTTGGTTAATGAAGAATCTGCTTTGGGCCTACTGCAGCACAGAATAGGGCAAGGTGGGAATTCCAAGTGGACAGAGGTGAGACTAGGGGTGGAGTCAAAGCGATGCCACAGTAGCCTCAGCAGGAGACAGACACCAGAAGCCGGTGGAACCTTACTGGTAGGCCACAACCACGTGGCAATACACAAAATAATGGAAATGGGTTAACTGAAAAGAGCTAGCTAGCAATAGGCTTAAGTGCTTGGCCATGCAGTATTGTAATTAATAGTTTCAGTGTGACTCTTCCGGGTCAGGGCGGCCAGGAACTAGCAAGCAGTCTCTGCCAACACATCTACATCTTTTTTTTAGAGTGGTCCTGACTGGAAATCTAGGCATGGAGCCAAATGATGGAATAAGGTGAACATGCCCTTGCTGTTGGTACCCCAACCTCTTAAAATATCAACATTTATAAAACACTCAATTATTCTTCCCTCAAAGTTAAGTACCACAGCAAGATGGGGTGGGGGATAGAAACCCAATTATCTGCCATTCATTTCGTGACTCCTGACACTGCCAGCTCCAAACCTGCCCTCTATCTTAGTCTCTCTATTAAAAGATGCTTTGTCTGGTTTTGACTTCCTTTAGCACATTACAAGGCATTTTCTGTGGGTGCTGTTTGACTTTATTTAAAAAAAAAATCACTTGCCTCCATAAAATAATAGCTGGAATAACCCTGGGGACCCAAGTAGAGCAACCAACCACTCTTAAAGACTGTTGAGCACGTGGTCAGGAAACGGCACTGGAGGTAAGGGTGTCTGGTCAGCTAGTGCTAGGGCTAGCGCCTACTCCCTTGCCTTCCTTCCCCTAGGATCTGATGGATGGGTCATTTAAACTTAATATTCCTTAAAAGATATTGTGAAAAGGTGGGGGAGAGGCTTCAGAGTAAACAAAAAGCATCCACTTCTAGGACAGATAAAATAAGGCAGCCCCGGGCAAGCCTAGGTCTCCTAGGGCTAGGGGAGCTCATCACCTTAGTTTTGGGGGAAAAAAGTAAAAGTGATAGACCACCAAGTGATACAGTATATATGAAATATACAAGATATATTTCAGTGGGGAAAAACAGCGTGAAGGAAGAAAGAAGCCACAGCTACCCTCGCACACTCACCCCTACATTAGGGAGCCATCTTGATAGGCCCCTTTGGATATCACAGGTGCTGTTAAGGAACAGGAATATATTAAAATACATGAAAACTTTCCAAGACCTTTGGGGTAAAAGGATGATGTGGGAAGAAAAAGGGAAGCTGAAACTTCAGTTAAACTTCATGGCAGAACCTCTAAGAACGGTTCTTACAGAAAAAGACATAACACCCTCCCCCCCCATAAACCCCTTTCCTGATTCCTCCTGCCCCCCACCCCCCACCCCAGTGGCAATTCACCGACAACACAGACTGACATTAATGGAACCCAGGAGAACCCGTTCAGGTGGTATAGATGGACAAACCAGGGTAGCAAAGAGGTAGGGACAGAGAATATAAGTCCCTCGCTTCCTTCCTCTCAAAGGAACAGTGATTTCCCAAAGAAAAGGCACAGAAGCAGTCTTTTCAAGCTGAGTTCCATGAAAACCTTAAAGGCAGTGGAAAAGTCAGGCTACGATGACAGCTGACGTGAGCATAAAGACAGGACAGCCAATGGCACCCAGAGAAACTGTGCTCCTGCCTAGCTTCACGGTAAGCTGTGGGTGGTGAAATTCCTAATACGCTGCAGTCTCTCTTGACTACATGTAACGACATACACTTGACACCTATGGGATAAGCCTGCCCTCGCTGGGGTGCAGAGGCTGGCTGCTGGCAGCACCCCCGTTCTTGGCGCTTCTGTCACTAACTGGCTTCTCTTAACAAGCTACCGAGCAGCGTGAGACAAACATGCCTGTCTGACAAAATAAGAGCAGGCTCTCCTGAGGCTTGTTACACATGTTATTGAAATACAGAGGCAATAGTAAAAATTTACATATTAAATTATATTGTCTTACTATTTTAACTTGATTAACCTAGGAAATAAACATGAGAAAAAGAATACACCTAAAAGTCTTAGCATTAACATAGAGTTTGCCTTTGTCATTACACATATAGTTTGCCATTTCTACATATAATCCATTATCCACGTGCTAATTTCCAAAATGGGAATCTCTTCTACAGTGTACCACAGAGATCACTGCAGATCCTATTCCCAGTACTTTCATCACACACCCATCCCTGACTCATGTTTGATCCAAACGATCAGACAAATGTCAAATCCAACAGCTAAGAGCGTCTTGCAAATAGCACCAGCAAGTGAGAATTCTTTTACATCAAACACAATATTGGATGGATAGCTTTTCTTCCTAATGCCTTCTTATGAATACTGTGCATGTTCCTCGGAAGGTATTCGTGAGTATGACCATCTCTCCAGTCTAATTCGAACACTGCTTTAATCAGTGCCTTTATTAATACATTTTCCACAATAGAAAAGCACACTCATACACATACTCATATAAAATGCAACAAAGAACACAGTTTCAACATTAATCATGGTTTAAAAATAAACATTTCTAGAACCATGAAAGCTTAAAAAAACAAAATTTAAAAGTTGAACAGTTTTGTGTCTTTAAGATAAATACATAAAAGGTATTTTAAGGCAATTCACTGCCCCCTTCCAAAAGAGTTGCAATAGCATCCAATCGCACCTATGATATTAGATGATGGCCAGAAGCCTCTGACATCTTTAAATGGGAAGAGGAGTCATTCTAGCTATGTTCCAAAATGTCAGAGCTAGAAATGAACAAATTTTAAACAATAATAATAAGTCGACTCAATATTCAGTCATCCAACAACCAGGTAAATGAATCATCACTTTATACAAGGCTCAGATAGTCTAAAATGCTCTTTGCTTCACACATATACTACAAAACAATAATTAAAAGTCACAACGCAAGGGGAAATACTATAAGATGTAACTGTTGTAGACCTTATGAGAGTCCTTTACTTTGGAAGTTCTGCCTTGAGGAATGACCCCACGCCAACAGGCCTATGTTCCTTGAGGTCACACTGCTCAGTGGCACAGGGGCAGCACTAGGATGTCTCTAAGACTCAGAGGAGAGACACAGGCTTTGATGGTGCAGAGAAGAGTGAGGGAGGGCGGAGTAATCAGCCATTCTACTACTTTCTACTGGAACAGCTCCCTAATTAAGAGCACTGGCAAAGGCCTAGAGAACAGGAGGGAAGTGAGACCAGGCTCAGCTAAACATGGAGAAGTACAAATCATACTGGAGCAGTTGTAAGGCGCTGCCCCACGCTCTCAGTTCTTCAGTCCTGGACACAGCCTCCTTACCCTTGTGTGTGCACGCTCTCAGTTCTTCAATCCTGGACACAGCCTCCTTACCCTTGTGTGTGCACGCTCTCCTCTGACTTCTCCAGGAGAGCATGGCTACCTGCTGTTCTCTGTAACCCTGGACATGTGTGCGTTCTCTCCTCTAACTTCTCTTTCTCTCTTCTGTACTCTCTCACCCCTTTTACAGGTTGACCCCAAACTCAAATTGGAGGAAATATGAAGTATTTGGGGTTCCCCTAAGCAGCAATCTTTTCTTGGTAAGCTGCTTTGGTTGCAGAACTACAAGGAATTGTTTCAAATGCTTGACCAGGAAACAGTTATATTAGGATAAGATTATCCTAAGAGGGGTCTGTAGGTAGACAGGAACATTTTAGTCTGAGTGAGAAAAATATGTCCTAAAAATGAAGATAAGGAATTACGGAAAAATATTAATACTTGAGTAATAAGAGGGAAGGGAATACTCATAGCCCACCTACCTGTCTTGGAAGTTTCTGACATTTAGAAAAACTAAAAAATCAACCTTTCTCTCCTGTTATGCTTTTGTACTAACTAGATTAACAGGCGCTTTACACCAGGAGGGCAGGAAGCCACTTAAGCACTTGTGGGGAGTTTCTCTCTGAAATGAGCAGGAAAGCTCACTCAAAGAGGTCCTCAAACATCCGCTGACCCATAGCTATGTATGCCTCCTTTTCCTCTGGCGTCATCTGGGCTACCAGATCTGGACGCTGGCTAACTTCACTGTAGGAGAATGGACAGCCAGCCACCATAACAATGGGGTCATCAGCTACTTCCTCAAACTCGTCGTCTTCCTCGTCCTCATCCCGATGATGGGGAGCCACAGCTGCTGGCCGGGGCGGGGAGTCGTCATCCGACTCACTGGTCTCGCTCTCCGAGTCACTGCCATTGGCACCAGTCACTGGCGCGGATGCTCCCACCGAGCAGGCTGTCGCCGAGGAAGTCTTTTTCTCATGAATGAGTAGAGCTCGCATGACCTCCTCATTGTCATCAGGCCCTGCGTGGGCTTCCTCATGCTCCTGAAATGTGTCCACATCGATGCCACCTGGAAGTTAAAACCCAGAAAGTCACAACCTCACGATGCAAAGAGCATTCATCTGTAACTAACAAAAAATAGACTTCAATGTGTTCTGTTTAAATTGGTGACTAACAGCGCAGACTTCACTGGCTCCATTTTCTGAGCTGCTGTTCTACAGAATATCTAAAATGTTCCTTAAAAGCTAAAGTAGCACAATGACTAAGTCGGGGAGTTTGCAGGTTTACGTGCATTTACCCTTGCCCATGAGCTGCACTATTTTAGGAGGTGACAAAGAGCATACCTTCTAAGACTCTGGGTTAGAACGTGTGGGACAGCAGCCGGTGTACAGGGGACGAGGGCACAGCCCTTCACCTTGCTCAGAGTAAAAGCCAGAGGCCTTACAATGGCCTATAAAGTGCTACCTTCTCCTGGATCCCTAACTCTTCCTGGTCCTCCCGCCCTTATCCGTACTCTATTCCAGCTACAGCTGGTATTCCTTGTAAAGACAAGGCACACTCTCTCAGGGTGTCTGCACTGCCTGTCTGCCCTGAAGAGTCCTCCTCTACTGTCCCTCCATCCCATCTTCCCCCAAGTGCCACTTCGTGAGGCTGTTTGTGCCCGGCACCCATCCTCTAGCACAGAGACTCGGGCCAACTGCCTCTTACTTTTTAGGGATATGGAGTCTGCCACAACAAAACTGTATTTTCCTTATTCACTGTGACCCTATTCCTGCACCGGGACAATACCTGCCATATGGTAGGCACCGAGTAGGAATTTACTAAATGAATAAACAAATGGTAGTTTCATTTTCCTGAAGCAAACTGCACAAATTTCAAACTTATTCAGAAAGGTGTGTGTAGTACCTATATGTGTGGACAAGGAAACACTAATGCACATAAAAATAAACAAATCTTTTAAAAACAGAGACTTACAAACCTAGTTCTTGTTTTGACCAAACTGACAGTACAACACGCTGGCTGTTTTTAACGCTTATTGCTCAAATTCACACCATGAATTTTTACTAAAACCAAGAATTACTCAGGCATTCTTTAAGCCGATTTAATTTTTGACAAAATCCATGCTATAGCCATATTCCTGACTTCTTATTCTTACCTTCCTTCATCTCTTCAGAACCATAGGCCCCTTGGACAGTGCTCTCTCTCAACCAAATGGGCCTCTCTTTGGCAGATTTCCCCTCCAGCGAGGTGCGATGAACATCATCTTGGTCATCCATGTTAATGACCACATTCTGAGTATATAAGTCCTCATAAGAGGGGCCTTTGCTGGTCCATGCTTCCCGGTGGTGCCCGCCTGCCAGGCCGGCAGCCCCAGCAGTACTGGCTGCTCGGTCCTTGCTGTAGAAAAAGATTAAAGAACAACAGCAAGAAGAAAAGTTAAGGTCTGGGCACTGAGCATGAAGGACTGCTGGAGAGAGAGCTAACGCAGTAGCAGTTTGAAGAGAAGCTGCCCACTTACCCGGCAGGCATGCTTCAACAACTCTAAGAGAGCTCTCTAGAACCCAGGGTGGAAGCTGTATGGATTACATCAGACTTAAACTCTGCAAACACTGCACCTTCTCGCGTTTGTGAATAACCAACGTTTAGAGATTGTAACATGTCCATTAATTTGCACGGGGGAGAAGGGCAACGAAAGCCTAAAGATACTAGGTCTGGCAAAACAACTCCTAGTCATATTTTCCATGAAAATTTTGTTTAAAACAAAACAAAATAAAGATTACTGTATTTTAAAAATATTTTCCTAGTTTAACTTTAACCAAGGGTGGTTTTGTGTGTGGCCATGGAAGTTAAAAAGTTACTCTACAGCGTCAGACCTCAACTTAGAATTAACCATCTCCTCCTGCCACTCAGAGGACAGAACGCTCTTCAGCATGCCAGTGCACCTTTGTTTCTACAGCTACACCGACTATCTGCCCCCGCCATTCTCCCCCACACAGGGGCTCTGATCTGTTTCTACAGCTACACCGACTATCTGCCCCGCCATTCTCCCCCACACAGGGGCTCTGATCTGTTTCTACAGCTACACCGACTATCTGCCCCCGCCATTCTCCCCCACACAGGGGCTCTGATCTGTTCTTGGTCTGGTTTGCTCTTTACTTCTACGGCCTTCCTTGCCTGCTTCAACGCTCTAAGCCTGATGGGTCCTTCTCTCTCCAATCACTGGGCTTCCCCATTTCTATGAACCAAGCTAAGTTTGCCTTCTCCCTCTGCTTCCTATTTTCCCTGCTTTAACGTTTTCGCTCTTGCTCTACACCGATTTGTCTCTAACGTGCCTTTTAGAGGTTTCACCCCACAAGCAATCATGCTTCCTGAGATACCTGCTCAGTCTACATCTCTTGTGATGTTTTCCAGTGCCACAGGTACTCTAGACCTTATGATTTCCCTCACCTTCTCTCACAGTTCTCTAAGTCAGTTCCCTGCATTGTGCTAGCCTTTTGGAAGCCAGCTCATCCTAAACCTAAGCAACATTCGTCATAAGCCACTAGGAACCACCATCCTTGCTGTTCTGCTCACTAAGTCGCTTTCTTTCTTCCTGGGAAAGAGCTCCCTGGGCTGTCTGTCACATTTGAACTGAGGTTCCTCTCGTGTGCCTGTGTTCAAGAGTCTGGCTGGCTACTTGTCTCTATAACCCTATGCTTCTGACAACTCCCTACAGGTAGTCTCAGGCTTACCTTAGCCCTCCCTCCCTGCCTCTTGGTCCTATACATTTGAAACCAAGCAACAAGCTATTTAATTACCACTTTACAGCAACTGCCTCTGCATTCTTTTCATATCCTACCTGCACCCAGGGATACTCTGTGCCACTCCTGCCTGCAGCCTTTCTCCCTGGCACCAGTTCTATCTAGTCTTAATACTTTCTTTTAACTCCTCCCTACGGTCTCCTTGCTCCCACTCTGGATCCGACCAAATAGATCCACTCCATCTTTATGTCTTGCTTTTCTAATATCTCATGACACTATTGTAAGCACTGGATTTCCCTCTACCTTCTGTTCCTTTCTGTATTCAAATGATGTTGCCTTTTGCATTGTTTACCTTGCCTCAATTTGGCCATATCTGTCACTAGACATTCCACCTCCCTTACTGTAACCCGACTACTTACTTCAGTGTAGCTCAGCTTTTTACATTGCGTTCCCCCTTGGCATTTATGGTCCTTTCATTTTCCCGCCCTGATCCATTTTTGTTTTTGTGCTTATCCTACATGCAGAGTTCTCCCTGCTCATCTCACCGTTTCCCCAACTCCTTTCAATGCTATGTCTTGTCTATCCTCAGCCAACATCTTCGCTTTTTCTATCTGCCTCAAAAGTTGCTTCCAGAGTCAGCTAACTCCAGGCAAGAGAAAGAAGAAAGGCACAGCGCTCCAGTGTGAACCTGTCTTTACTTTATTACTGCTGTTGCTTGGTCAACTCGCTGAGACTGTTTTTCTTTATATATAATCCTCAACTCAACCTCAGGGTTAACTTTGAAGACTATCTCGTGCAGTCAAAAGAGGTGCTGTGAAGAGAGAAAGAAGAAAATAGAAATGACAACAGGATGAATGAAGAAGAGCACCCTTAAAATCTGACTTCTGGTGTCCTTTTACAGAAACTCAAGGTCGATTTTTATTTGCAGCATCAATTAAATGGCAGCAAATATTTACGTCTCACCAATGAGTTGACTTACTGGGTTAAACCTTAGCCTGCCTGTGATGTGGACGGTAATGCTTCCCTGCTAACTAGGACTCCTCAGTTTTGGTTTACCATTTTTACTTAAATGTTAATGGCTACTATAATGGCTCCAAAGAACTCGGAACTTTCCCAGCCAAAGTGAAACTTAGTTGGTCTGAATACCAATTATGTAATTTTATCCCCCTTATCAGATACTGATTTAAAATAAATATACAAAGTAATTCTAGCCAGTAAGACATAGGGGAACAGATAAGATAAAGGATGTTTCTTAGGAACGTTTCTTCAGTCACACTTAAGACACAAGGAAAGGATGCCATTCTCTCTGCATTTGGATATTTTCATCTGCGGTAATCAAGACAGAGATGGTGACCTTAAGGCAAGACAGAGATGGTGACCTTAAAGCAGCTTCCTTCCTAGTCCTAGGTGGATGATACACAGGGAAGAACAGAGATGGAAAAAGAAATCATAATTGAGCTAAGAACAGCACTAAGTCAGAGCCTCCAGCCACAGAAGACAAGTTATCGCAGGTAAAGGCATCCTAACTGACAAATGGTATTAGGTGTTAGTCCACAATAACTGAGTTATAGAACTCTCCGTACAACTGGGAAGAAATGCAATTAGCTCAGGACTCCCTATTTAACAGTAAATAACAGAGCGAATTAAAACAAAACATAGAAGGATCACTAGAAAAAAATCATGCTGAGGGAGGCAATCCAGACCAAAAGACAAAAATATGCATTCACTTCTATGTGGACGTTAACTGTTAGGTCTTTGATAAGCAGCCTACAATCCACAGAACCACAGAAGTTAGGTGCAGAGTAAGGGATGGGAGGGTAGCAAATGTGATCTCCTTAGAAAGAGGAAACAGAGAGACAACACAGGGACTGAAAAGGGAAGATCAAACGGAGAGGGCACGGGAAGGAGGGTAAGCAGGAAATCCAGAGGGACAACTGAACTAAGAGCTATTTGAGGGCTTGTACGGAAACCCAATACAGCAGAGGTTTCTCTTCCCTCTCTCTCTTGAGATTGGGTTTCTCTGTGTAACCCTGATCTGGCCTATAACTCGCTCTGTAGACCAGACTGGCCTGGAACTCACAGATGTCCTCCTGAGTGGAGGCCGAGATTAAAAGTGTGCACTACCACCACCTGGCAGCTTCTTAAAATATATACATATATGAAAGAAGTCTAAATTGGAATCACCGAGTAACAGGGGAGACAAAGCCCCAAACAGACATCTCTTGTCACCAAATGAATCTCCAGTGCTGGGAACAGGTTATCTAATTGAGTTGTTGGCCAACAGTCCCATGGAATGCCCTCCAAAACTCAGACTATTGCCAGGGTCACTGGCTGCTCTCCACAAACTGATGGTAAACACCTATTGCTGAAGACAACCCTGCACAACTCTGAACACGGAGAAGTCGAACTGGTGCTTATCTACAGCCTTCGCCCTACTGACTAGTGCTGATGGTAAGGAGGTCCTTGCATGCTGCCAGAGGAGAAAGGGAAACGCCAACCCAGCTACGAACACGGAAATCTACAAGGTGCCTGCCTGCAAGACACACTGGCGCAATGGCGGCACGTGAGCTATGAGCGTAGCCGACCACTATCTGATTGGAGTTAAGGCCTACTCCATGCGACAGAGCAAACCATCAACACTGTCCTGGTTGGGGGTCAAGGATCTGAGACTGCGTAAATATGGATCTAGGGGAACCAAATACTAGTGATCTGCTAAAGGGCCATTGCCATAAAATAACTCCTGACAATATTCTGCTATACTCTCCATACCTTGGAGCAGTTGGTCCTACATGGGCTGCATTGTCTCATTAAATCCCTCCCCTCAGTGATCAGGGAACTGCGGAAGACTAGGCAGAGAAACTCTAAGAGTCAATGGGGATGAAAGACACCAAGGAAACAGGTCTTCTAGAAATAAGAGTACTGACACACAGACAAACCCACAGACTGGGGCAGCATACACAAGGCCTGCACATGTCCAACCCACTGGGGTCCCAGTGCTGAGGAGAAGGGGACACATGACCCCATCTTTAACCCAGAAGCTAATTGATAATCACTCCAATTGGTAATCACTCGCAAAGGAAAAATTAGTTTTCTCCAATGGAATCACGCCGGGTATATAAACCACACCTAAGGGCAGGCCCCATGCCTGCCAACACAAAATGAACTCAATAGCATTTTTGGAGGTATTTTGTCTGATAAAGCTTTCTCTGGGTTTTTCCCTTTCCCCTTTGCTTATATATTATGGTTTCTAGTTTTGTTTTAAGAAATTTTCTATGTATATGAATATGTGTCTCATCATCTGTATGTATTTCCTGTGCCTTTCCTATGGCTCTTTTTTATGTTTGTTTTGTCCTATTTGTCCTATAAATTATTTTATCTTATACTGTTGTTATTATTATTATTTAGATGTTTATGTTTTCTACTAAGAAAAGAAACATTGTAGATTTGTGTGACTGGGGAAGTGGGAAGGATTTAGAAAGAGTTGGAGGAGGGAAAACCAAAATTAGAATATACTGTATGAACAAAAATATATTTTCAATAAAATAAACAAATAAATAAACAAACAAACAAACAAACAACAAAACAGAAACGCCAACCCCCACACAAATACAATCGTAATTGGCTCTAGAGTCAGGAGCAGGGTGGTGGATATGAATTCACCTTAGTATCAGGAAGAAGGAAAAGAAGACGGGGCAGAACAAGAGAACACTCCCTGACACCAGTTCTCACTCAGGCAATTCAAAAAGTAATCTAACTCCTATGGGTTAGAAAGATGGCTCAGAGGTTAAAGGCATTTGCTGCTCTGCAGAGAACCTGGGTTCACTTCCCAGTACCCACAGGGTAGCTCACAACCACCTGTAATTTCAGTTCCAGAGGATCTGACACCTTCTGGCTTTTGTGGGCACCAGACATATATGTGGTGAACTTACATACATGCAGGCAAAACATTCGCACACATAAACTAAAAGCAAATAAATCTTTTAAAACACAATGCCTTTTCATGGCATGGTAGAACCAAGCCTGCCTACTGATGCAAACACCACAGCACATTGAAAAAGGAGGAAGGAGCCACTGTTACCAGTATTAACCCACGGGTACACTATACCTTCAGAAGACTAAAAAAAATGCTGTATGCTCTCACTCATACATAAGCCCTAGCGTTAAATGTTTACATATGTGTGCATGTGAGTACACACGTGGGTGTTGGTCATAGAACTAGAGAGAGAACAAAACTAGGAAAGTGGAAAGAAGAGAGGACTGTGTGGGATGCAATGGTGTCTGTGGGGGCTGGAAGTGGAGGCAGGGGCCTGGCAGAGAAATCAGGGAGGAGGGTCAGTAAAAACAAAGCACGTATGCAAACACTCTAGCAAAGTGTACACATTAATATAAAAGCAAACAAAAATCTATAGGAAAATGCTGTATTCCTGAGAGAATTTTGGCCTTTAAAAGTTGACTACGAGCCAGGCGGTGGTGGCGCACGCCTTTAATCCTAGCACTCAGGAAGCAGAAACAGGTGGATCTCTAAGTTCGAGGCCAGCCTGGTTCCAGAACAGTCAAAGCACACGGTGAAACCCTGTCTCAAAGAACCAAAAAAATTAAGAAAAATTAAAAAAAAAAAAAAGATGACTAAGAAAATGTAAATATTCCCAAGAGGCACAACTAATTTAGGATTAGCTTCAACTGGCTCAGTGCCGCAGGCCTCCGTTCTACTACATTCAGTACCAACAAATCTGACTACAACACAAGTTAATAAGACAAGTGCAGCAGAGCTGAGAACCTCTGGGACATTCAGTCTTCAGTCTCTGGAGCATTCACTCTGGCCCTCCAAGATAAAAACCAAAGCAAGGTGGAAAAGGTCAAGGCGCAGGCTTCCACTCACCTCTGCTTCAGGGCCGGGATTTCTGTGGGTTCCGGTTCAAGTATCTCATAGGCCAAGTTTACATCCTCTGTCTCCCGAAGCAATGCATAAATGGGCTCAATTTGTTCATTAAATCTTGCCAAAAGTGTGCGAGCATCTTTCTTGGGCATTGCTGATTCGTCTTCTTCTACCTCTGTGTGGCAAAAGGTACAGCGGAAAGTTCCTATGGAAAAAGCCAAATCTCAGGTCAGAAGTCTGCCAGAGAAGCCTTAGCTACATGCCTCCACCAATGTTTTAGTAAAACTTTCACACCAAAAAGTCAGGAAAAACCGTACAATGATTATCTATATACCTACCATCTAGATTCTACAATTTTCTAAAATTTCCACAATTTCACATTTCCCAGACATGTCCATCTTTATACATGCCCAGCATTTTTATACATCTCAAAATCTCATCCCCAATAGCTTTTGAAAATCACAACATTTCTAATATATTTATATTTATTTTAGCTTACAGCTTATTACTTAAAGCTTAGTGCTTCCAAGTTTTCTTCATACATTACACATCTGGATTAGTATTTTAGAAAATGCCACATAAATCCCTAAAACTAAAAGCTGTTTGTGGTCCCAGGCACTGCCACGGGGATACTTCTTTCACTTGTGGTGTTTTGTTAAGAGTTTTTAACTGTGTGTTTGTGTGCGCACACACATACGTGTATGTGCAGGTGCCAGTGAGCACAGAAGATGGTAACGGACCCCACAGCTTAAACTGCAGGAGGCTGTGAGCTGCCTGACAGACATGCTGAAAACTAACCGCCGATCCTCCTCTGAAAAGGCACGGAGTGCTCTTATCCAACAGCCACCTCTTTAAGGGCTATTGCTTAGTGTTTATAAACCATTTACATTTAAAGAAATGTATTCAAAGCAATCTCAAAAGAAATTCAAGGAACTTATTTTGTTTTCGTATCCCTTACATTCAACATAGGACTGCAATGCTCTCTAGGTTCTCTTCCCCAGCCCCGGTTCCTGTACCACCCTAGTCATTACCCTAACCTCCTGATCTAAAAAGTCTATTTGATAGCTCAATCTCGAACATCTGCAAGTAAAATCAAGGCCCTGTAAAATTTGGTCCCGAAATATCAGAACCCAGTCATAAACACCTGTGGTTAACAAATCCTTTATTTACACAGTGTTGCTTCTACAGTATGCACTTACACTTTTTGATCTATACACTAATTCTGGAAAGGGCCAGCAGAACCAAGGCTCTCAAGGAATTCATAATTTGTCAGAGACATACAGCTAATACAGGAAAATAACAGCGCCTTTAGCTAGGACTGTACCATGATGGATAGCATCAAGATCACCCAACTAGCTGGGTGATGGGGAGGAATCAAATCAACTATGATGCTAACTGGTATCTTACTACCTACAGTCTGCACTACTGCCAGACGTGCGATTCCAGTTTGGCCTTACTCCCAGGGACATGCATCCTCCTTTCCTACAGAACTACCAGAGGGATTAAGGAGGATAATTGAGTACTAGTGCAGGACACATAACAAGGACTATCTCCTCCCCTCATTCCAGTAACAGAATAAACAAAATAAGCATTTCTATTTCAGCATGACACCAAGTCCTCCAGACATTTCCCAACTGAATATGTTTCCAGGCCTCCCACCCGCAAGGCCAAGAATAAGTGAATGCTTTGATCCCTCACCGCTTCTACAACATTATCTTCTCAATTTTGGACATCTATCCCCAGTATGGGAGAGGACAGACAGTACCTCAAAGCTAGGAGGCAGCCCAGACCTCACGGCTAGGCTGTGGTTGGTTGGTTGGTCCGAAAGACTGTCACATTAAATGTAACCATCAAAGAAGTGAATCAGAACCAAGTCATACAGAAGCCTGCCTGATAGACAGACATGGACTCTGCAAAACCATGGACACTTTCCGGTGAATCTAAGTTACTACTGACTCTCTGCCAATCAGTTTTACCCTTTTGCTAGTCTAGCCACATACGTAAGATATGGCTATTAAATTTATTAAAACACCCCATCAAAGAACTAACCCCATTTTTCTTTAACATTTTAAAGTAATATATGTGTATTTGTGTGTGTATGTGTGTATACAGTCACATGTAAACACCCATATACAGATCATAATGTATACAGAAGTCAGTTCTCTTCCCACCCTGAGTGTAGGTCCCACTCAGATTCTCAGGTTCAAACTCAGGTTCTCAGGTACCTTTACCCACTGGGCCAGTCAGCAAACATATAAGCCCATTTTCTGAATCCTCTAGAAAATTACCAAAGTCTCTCAAGCACCATGTTACTAAACAGTTGAACACACCTCTTGACATGTAGTCCTCTGGCATGTGCAAATTTAAGTGTTTGCTATATGCATGCCTGACTAAAGAACACAAAGATTTTGGAGTCATCGGGGCTGGGAGGACAGCTCAGACAGTAAGTAAAGAGCTTCCATTGAAAACATGAGGACCCGAGCGCAACCCCATAACCCAGGCTTAACAAAGAAAAAGCAGGACGCGTAGCATGTATTTATAGTTCCAGTACTGGGGAGATAGGCAGATCCCTGAGGATCAGCCTGCTTAGCCTACGAGACAAGTCCCAGGCCAGGGAGACACTCTGACTTTAAAAATATAAAATAAAAAGGACGGCATCTGAGGAACCAACAAACAGGCTGCATGCTCCTACATACAAATCAACATGTACATACAAAAGACATGAGAATAATCAACTGGACAAGAATACCATTTACCAATGTTAAAAGTAATTTTCCTTTTCTTTTTTGATAAAAAACATCATGTTGCTTTTAGATATCTGAATATATGTTATTCATTGACTGTTAAAACAGATATGCTTTAGAAGCCCACTTACTACAACTACTGAAAGCTCAAAAGAGGCTATCAGACTAGAAAATCAGATAGGAGGGTACAAAACATAGGAGTCGTAACTAATGCCCAAGTAGATCACATACCCAAAGAGACTTGGGAGAGCAAGTACAAGAATCAAGAGACAAACTCAAGGCAAGAAAGATCCTTAAAACAAGAGATGCCAACTTCCCGTGGAAAAACAAAAAAAAACCCAGGATAGCTAAAACAATCCTGTACAAAAAAGAACTTCCGAAGATATCACCATCCCTGATTTCAAGCTCTACTACAGAGCTATACTAATAAAAACCACATGGTATTGGCATAAAAACCGACAGGTGGATCAATGGAATAAAATCAAAGACCCAGAAGTAAATCCACACACCTATGGACACCTGATTTTCAACAACAAAGTAAGTCAAAAATTATACAGTGGGAAAAAGAAAGCATCTTCAACAAATGGTGCATGTAGAAGAATGCAAATAGATCCACACATCTATCACAAAACTCATTTGCACAAAACAAGTCATAGTCAATAGAAGACCTCAATAGAAATCTTCAGTGTATCTGAACCTGACAGAAGAGAAAGTAGGAAATAGCCCTGAACACATCTGCACAGGAGACAACTTCCTGACAGGACACCAATGCACAAAGGCTAGAATCAAACTTAATAAATGGACCTCACTGTCAACAGGTCAAACATCAGCCTACAGAATGGGAAAATTAATAAATGGGACCTCACTGTCAGCAGGACAAACATCAGCCTGCAGAATGGGAAAATGTTCTCACCAGCTACATGTCTGACAAAGGACTAATATCCAAAATATATAAAGAACTCAAGAAACTAGACATCAACAAACCAAATAATCCAATTAAAAAATGGGGCACAGACCTAAACAAGAGAATTCTCAACAGAGGAATCTCAAATGGCCAAGACACACTTAAAGAAATGTTCAATATCCTTAGCCATCAGGAAAATGCAAATCAAAATGACTCTGAAATTCCACCTTACACCAGTCAGAATGGCTAAGATCAAAAATAGAAATAACAGTTCATGCTGGAGAGGATGTAGAGCAAGGGGAACACTGCTCCATTGCTGGTGGGAGTGCAAACTTGTACAGCCACTTTGGAAATCAGTATGGTGGTTTCTCAGAAAATTTCCCGGTTCAAAACCTCAATCCACCACAAGACCCAACTATACCATTCTTGGGCATATACCAAAAGGATACCCAGTCATACCACAAGGACACTTGCTCAACTATGTTCATAGCAACATGATTTGTAATAGCAAGAACCTAGATGTCCCTCAACCGAGGAAAGAATAAAGAAAATGTGATCCATCTACACATTGGAGTATTCAGCTGTTAAAAACAATGACATCATGAAATTTGCAGGCAAATGGAGGGATCTAGAAAAAAAAATCATCCTGAGTGAGGTAACCCAGACTCAGAAAGACAAACATGGTATGTACTCATAAGTGGATATTATCTATAAAATAAAGGATAGCCATGTGACAACCCACAATCCCAGAGAGACTAGATAACAAGGAGGGTTCATGGGGATCTTCCTGGGAAGGGGAAATAGCAGAGACTGGTGTTTGTGTTGCTTTCATTGGTTTAATAAAGAAACTGCCTTGGCCTTTTGATAGGGCAGAAAATTAGGTGGGCAGAGTACACCGAACTGGATGCTGGGAAGGAGGGCAGTGTGGCAGATGCCATGAAACTCCTGTCTGAGACCAACACTGGTTAGGATCTTTCCTTGTAAGCCACAACCTCGTGGTGAACACAGATTGGTAGAAATGAGTTAGATCAGGATGTGAGAGCTGGCCAAGAAGAGGCTAGATATAATGGGCCAGGCAGTAATTTAATTAATTCATTTTCTGTGTGATTATTTTAGGGGATAAGCTAGCTGGGCGGTTGGACGCGGCCAGCTTCCCTTATTACAAGAGACTTCACCAGTGTACTGAGGGCAGGTAAGGATGAGAACATGAGCAATCAGGTTGGAGCGGGGAAGGGGGGCAGGTCACAGATGGGACAGAGCGGGAGAATACTGAAGGAGACTACTGAAAGGTAGGGGGTAGTTTGGGGTCAGGTAAAAAACTGGTGCAAGGGAATCTCCCAGGAATCTACAAGGATAAACCCAGTGGGTGGGACAAAAAAAAAAAAGGATAACCCCAGTTAGGACACCTAGCAATAGAGGATGTGTAGCCTAAACTGGCCATCTTCTGGGATCAAGCAAGACTTTAAGGGGAGGGAGTGGGAAACCAACTCAATTTACAGAGGTAAGGGTGGCCAAGAGATTGAGGGAGTGGTCAACCAATGACTGGTCTAGTCTGAA